AATGGCTACAAAATACAATACGATCGAAAAAAAAACTGCGTCAGCGATGGCTGTGAAATGAAGATCGCTGTCATTTTATACAAGGTGTCCCAGAAATAAGTGCAAGTATTTTAAGTGGTAGTATAGTTCAACCCCAGAATCACGCCTAAGAGTTTTTTTCGCGAAAAAAACATTTTGAAAATTCGGAATTTTTTGAAAAATTTTCTGTATTTATTTTTAGTTTTTAGTTAAAAAAAAACATAACTTCTTGATAATATGGCAACATAGGAAGTAAATTAAATTTACAAGAAAGAAAATCCAGAAAAGATCCAGTGGTTCTCAAAACTTGAGCAAAAAATTATTTTTTTTTTGGAAAAATTCAAAGTAAAATAACTCCGTTATTTTTGACTTACTTATACTTGCACGTATTTCGGGGACACCCTGTATATAAACTTATATGGGAAATATCGTCGATATTCATTTCCAAACCAACTGGACGCTGTTTTTTTTCGATCATACGGTATATGTAGAGTTTTCAGAGATATTTAGTGCGATACCTACAGGTTTCCTTATTGGAGGTAGGAGAAAACTTTAAATGTACTTTACATGTAAGGTTTTACCTGAACTGCCAGAGAGTGAAATAAAAATAAACAAAAGACGATCAGAATCCTAAGAAAAATATATAACTTAATTTTTTATCTCTGAAAACCCTGCACCTATCCCTATATGTTATAGACTTATTTCTCTAGAACTACCAAAACAAAAATTTAGTGTAAAAACGTGGGAAAGAGGCATTTAATAAAAACATCCACACTTTTTTCAGACGCCCTATACAACTAAACATAGTTTCCTGAAATAGGGCCTAGTGCACAGTTTATGGTCTGCACTTAAAATTAACTTAAGACGCTTTGTTGCTGGACCCTGTATATTTTTTACTGTGGTTGTCAACACTCACTGTCTATGCAAATGAGACAAAAAGCCTATGTGAAAATACAGGGTGGCCCGGTATACTAAAAAGACCTAATATAAATTTTTCTGTTTGCGATTTTCACTCCATTTTTTTACAAATGACGACAATTAAAGTAGAGAACATATTGAAAATATTCTTATACATATACAGGGTAATACACAAATATTTTTGTACTAATGTTGTAATTTTCCCTTTAAAAAACTAAAAAGAATTATCTATAACAATTTATAGAGCTCATACTTTTTGTACCATTTTTGTTTAAGATTTTACTATTAATTTAAACTGGGTTATTTTTTACACTTTATATCGTTGGATAAGGTTGGATAATAAAGTTAAAAGTTATTTTTGACTTCAGTTAGATTTTCAGACATTTTTAAAACTTGTATTGTCCAATTTTCTAAATAAAATAAATACATATAGTTTTGAAAAAGAGACTATGTACTTCTATTTGAAAAACATAAAATAATATTGATGTTATTTAAAATTTGAAAATTTCTGTAGTAAATCTACTGAGCAAACAAAATATAAACCTTCCCAATTAAAAAATTGCAAAATTAAGCCTAAAATTATAGTATAATCACCGTGTATATCTATTAAAACAAAAGTATATCTATTAAAATATTTTGCAAGAAAGAATAATGAAAAACTCTAACTTGATTTAAAGATTTTTCGGTATACTGGGTCACCCTGTATACAGTATATGTAAATTAACATATAAAATTTAAAAATATATTACATTTGTTTAACAAAAGCAAAAAAACAATTATAAATCCATCTAATAGTTGTTGGAGGTTTCAAAAAGATTTTTAAGAAAATATAGGCAACCAACAAATCATCTTAAATTACAAAAACCCGAAATATTTTATAATTAAAAGTTTGATAACCACAGCAGGTAGGACACATCAATTAATAATATTTATAATCAATATTAGGTGTATTCAATCAAATTGAGGTGTGTTTTATCTTTTTTCTTCTTATAGCACAATTAAAAACTTCTAAAAATTAGAACAAAACTAATATTATTACTTTGCAAATTAAGTTATTTAATTAAATATTTGTACTGAAAAAAAAACACCTTATATTGATTATATTACATATAAAAGCAAATTGTAACATTAAAAAATGTGCGACACTAAAGTCTTACATAAATACAAAACAAATATTAGAAAAACTGTGTAAAACAATTAAATGTACATGTAGCATCCATATATTTATTAACAACATATAATTTTATATTAATTATACTGTAATTTATTATTAGATGAAAAAATAAATAAATATATATTTTTTATTAACTCTGTGTTTTATTGTTATTCTAATGAGGTAATTTGCAATATTTTACAACGATCTAAATTTTATATTACGAAACAATAAGGTAAGTAATAATAGTAAAGAAAAGTGCGTCAGCCAAAAAAATTACTCTAAACTGAAATAAGAATGATTATAATATTTAAATAATTAACGTTAAATCAACAAAATGAGATATTCAATCAGTAAAAAAATAATAATGATTAAATTTTTATCCGACTTTATATTTAAGAAGTGTTTGCAAATAATTTTAACGTCAAACACAAAGTTTTTAAGTTGAAATATCACAGACAAAATATTAAAAAATAAACGTTATAAGAAACAGATGGTGCCCCATGTACTTCTAGATAATTAATTACAGAACTTCGAGCAAGACAAATGAATATGGAATAAATGCGATAATAAATATTATTTAAAAAAATAATTATATAGTTTCACTTAGTTTATATTATGGCGAATGCGCTAGGCGATCTTAGAATATATTTAGATATATGAATATACTCTGTTAAAAATAAAAGAATGTGTAATAAATATATTTTTGATATAAAAAAAATCTGCTATTATATTTACTTTTAATATACAGGGTGTCCCATTTTAAAAAGAAACATTTCAACTAATAACACTAACAAAATTGACAACTTACAACATTTTTACACTCTTAAAATTAAAAAGCATGTGTGATAATCTTTGAAATCAGAAAAATATGCTATTTAATACACTCCTAATATACAGTGTGTCTTATTTAAACATTAAACATGTTTATACCAATAACTGTAACAATTGACAGCTTATGACATGTTTGCTAATTTAAAATTAAAACTTTTTATTTTTTATTTATTTACAGAAAAAATAGAAAAAAATATAAATAAGTAGTATAATGTTTGTTTAAAATTAGGACAAACAGCAATGTTGTATGCAAAAAATATAATAAAATTGTTAAGTTAATTTGTATTATGTTATGACAGATGCGCTAGACTTTAGAATATACAATAAAAAATCGGTATTAGCGACTGTTTCATGAAAAACCCTGTATAAAAATCTTTGCTGAATAAAATGCGCAACTAAAAATGTCAGTCCGCGTTGGCAAGCGTTTTTTACGATATATTCCTATTTACTTATTATCGAATTTGTTCCATTTCGCTGTATTACAATTATTACATTATTATTAGAAATATATACAAAATGGCTTACGTTATATAGCCTGTTCAACGAGCTGAAGAAGAGTTTGACAGACAACATCCTTAAAAATGACAGAAAATACAATTTAACTGTTAATTAAAATGACAAACACAACTGTCACTGTCAGGGATCCTCTCATTGGATAGACTATATTACACATGACATAAAACAATACAAAATAGTAGGTATATCGATTTATTAGGAGTAAAAATGATACTTTTTGTGGCGACGCTGTACGTTCGACATTACAGGCGAGGCACAAAAAGTCATTTTTACTCTGAATAGAACATACTATTTTTTTCAAACGTCACAAATAATTGATGCAATGATTTAAACACAAAGAACGACGGAAATAAAATAAATCATTTAAAAGTAAGTAATTATATATCGAGAAACTATGATTACGCTAGTTAAATTTGACACTTAATGTCAGTTTAATAATATATTTTTTCGTATTTTTATGCTTAGGCGTCAAAACATTTTTTTATATTGCCAATCACGTCGCAAAAATTAATACTTTGTGACGTTTGAAAAAAAAAATTATAATGATAAAAATTGATCAGTCATGAAAAAACATCTGTCCCTAGGCCAGTGGCGCATCTACAGGCTGGATCTGGGAGGAATAATTGCAATATTTAAGTAAACTAGTAGATTTGAATGAAATTTTTGCTAAAAAGTTTTTTAGTAATCGTGGGGAAAAAATAAACTTGGAATTGTAATTATTTATTTATTTATAAATTGCTTTCTGGGAGGGGTAATTATTTCCTTTACCACCCTCTTATGCACGCCCCTGTCCTAGGGTACCAAAAATAATACACAAAAGCAAAAAAAAACTATATGAACACAAGTATTAACAAAATGGATTATTTTACTAAAAATAATCAATCCAGAACTTATAAAAATGATTAAATTGACCATTAAACTATTAAATTATCATCTGATCGTAGATATAGTTAGATAAATTTCATAAAATTTAGTTTGTGTTAATACAATAAATTAAATATTAAACAATATAAACTTTAGAACTAAAATAATACTTGTGTTCATAGGGCTATAGTGACGCAGCTGCGCAAGCATAACATTTATAATTTTGATAATCCGGAATAAATTTAGAGTAATTAATTAAAAATAATTAAAAAACTACTACTATAAATAATTGGTAATGATACAAATTTATAAAGAATCTCTTTAATTCTATTAAAAAAATATTACGTTATATAATACAACTAACAATTTAATTAATAATTACAATATCTAATGACCTTTAATGAATGCAAAAATAAAAGATAAATGAGATTGAAAAAAAGCTTAAGAGAAATTATAACAGATTACTATAATATTGCTCAACATATTTTTCATAAAGATTAATGCATAGATTTTAATGATTTAAAATTAATCAAACATGTCTCAAACTAGAGGCGGATTACATAATAAATAGAGCATCAAAATAAATAAATAAAAAGACAATATAAACATAAATAATGGTCCTATTCATAAAATAAAGTGAATTGTTCTTAACTAGTGTTTTATTTTGCAAAATCTTAAGAAAAAAAAAAGATTTTTATCCAGATTATCAAAATTTTACAAAAAATCAATAACACTAATATGACGCCTGATATACTTAAATAGTTAAGAAGAGGATAAAAACCAGTAAACAAATTTATTGAAACAATAACAATATTAATGAAGCTAACGAACCTTGGTGAGGCATTGAGGAATATTGAGTCTGCTTCACGTTGAGTGAAAGAGGAAAGCGAGGAGTAGGAGCAACTGTTGGATATCCATTGTAAAGAAAATGCAGAGATATCTAAAAAATAAAATAAAAATAAAATTAAAAAAAGGAATAAAACGATCTATGTAAAAATTAAAATAAATATATTTTTATTAATGCAATAACTATGTTTTTTAAATTAATAATTTGTATATACCCTATGAGAAAAAAAAAACAGCATCATAGTGGCTTTTAAAATAACAATTAATGACAATTATTTCTGCCAGGTAGACCACAATATATCATTTATAAAAAATGGTATATTTTTTTTTAAATTAAGGTTTTCACCTTTGAATAATAATTGGTATGTTTGAAAACTCTTTATTTTGTTACATTTAAATATTACTTTTGACAAATTTTTATATCAATTTTTAATAAAATAGGAATAGACGTTAAAAAATATATTAAAAAAAGATATATCTATGTAAAAAGTAAAATAAATATATATTTTTATCAGCAAGAATATTAATTTCTCAAGGTCTAAAAAGTAGTAAACGAATTAAAAAGTACGTCATTTTTTAAATTAATAATTTGTATATACTCTGAGAAAAAAAATCAGCATCACAGTGACCTTTGGAATGACAAATGATAACAATTGCTACCAGGTAGGCCACAATATATCATTGACATAAAAATTAAAGGATAAAAAGTTAAAAGAAAGCAGTGTTTATATTTTTTTCAAAAAAACCTTTGAATAATAATCGGTATGTTTGAAAGCCTTTTATTTTGTTACATTTAAATATTACTTTTGAAAAATGTTTTAATCAATTTTTAATAAATGCCATATATATAGGAATAGACGTTGGCCTCATTGACTTGTGCATCTCGAATATTATGAAACCTTATCACAATTTTCAAGCTTGTCAATAAAATTTAGTAAGAAAAAAGAGATAAATAACTTACCAGTGGTAAAGGACTGCGACCACTCCAACAGCTATTAAGAGCTGCCCTAAACGGTTTTCCTTTATTTTCCTGCAAGTTTCATTCCATTTAAAGCTTTTTGCTGCCCACCATAATATTTGCAGATAGTACGACTTGTGGATTTTTAACAGCAATTGTCCCAGCGTATACCTACAATTCCAAAAAAATATTAAGTAAATTTTTACTATAATAATTTTTAAATATTTTTGAGAACAAGATTAATAAAAAACAAAACAAAAAAGATTAATCAAAATTATACTTATTAAAATATATATTTATGGCGTTTATTCTAGTGGGAACTTTAATGTATCGTCAAGGTGTACGTGACGAGTTCTGTTATTTCAAACCAGTTTTGAGTAGCGAATGTTGACAATTTGGCGAAGGATTTTTTTAAACAGTTAATTATTGTGTGTTGTAATTAGTATAAATTGTGAGAAAATAAATCCGTTAAGTATTTTATCGTGAGTTTAAATTAGTGGACCCACAGAATCCGTTACAATATTCAACCAGTAATACAGTATCAGCATTTTATTTTGTCCTGCCTATTTTTAATAGTTGTTGGCTGTTCTAATATTGGAACAAAAGCGCTCGAATATTAGAAAATTTTAAAAATTTTCAAGCTGTCCAATAAAATTTTATAAGATAGATAAATAACTTACCATTGATGAAGAACTGGATCCCCTCTAACAGCTATTAAGTAACAGCAGTTCAAAATGCTTTTCCTTGATTTCTTCTGCACAAGTTTCATTTCATTTAAATCTCTATTATAACCACCATACATATTATTTGCAGCTAGTAGAACTTTTTTGTTTCTAATTGTCAAGAAATTGTCCTATCGTATGCCTAAATAAAAAAAAATATATTAGATAATTTTTCATTATAGCAATTTTTGAAGCTATTAGAAAACAGACAATAACATAAAGTATGTTAATATTTAGAACTATGTAACATAACAAACAAATAACAGACATTTTTTTATATTAATTTGAATAAGTTATAAAGAGTTAAATAAAATTAAAAAAAAAACTTTTATTGATAACTTCAGAAATGATATAAAAAATTGTAAAATCCCTTGATAAGAAAATAAAACATTATTATAATGAGTTAATAATAATCCAAAAAATAAATAGTATCTAATTTACTAGATATATAGAAAAAGAAAAAAATAATATTTAGTAATAACTCGTAAATTTATTGCGTTATTTTGGTGATAACTTTAATAATTTTGAAATAAATTTAAAGATATGCAACCAGTAAAACACTGTTAGCATTGTATTTTTTTCCACTTTAACTGGCCATAACTTTTTAATTTTTTGAGCTCTAATATTAATTAAAAAAACAATTATATTAGTTTTCCAGTCAAGTTTTAATACGGTTTTATTATTATAAATGTCATACACTCTCAAGTATAACCCAGTTATTGGTAAAACTGTATATTTTTAAGTGAAATACCCTATAAATTAAAAAAAAAGAAATAAAGATAATAATTTTGGTGCATTTTTTATTAAATTTTGATAAAATTATTACAAAGAAAGGGCACGAGTGTCTTTCAGAAATTAAAAAATGTGCCATATAATATATTTTTAATGTATAGGGTCTTCCATTTAAAAAAATACACATTAAAACTTGAGCTAAAACTTGATAATTTCTTTTTTTTTAATGAATGTTCTAGATTCTAAAATAAAAAAAGTTAAAACCTGTTAAAATTTAGGGCAAAATAAAATGTTAACACTGTACAAACTGCAGAGTATGAATATTCTGCAAAATTTAATCATTTTACAAAATTCCAAAAAAAATATTAAGTAACTTTTTACTATACTAATTTTTGAAGGTTTTTGAAAACAAGATTAATAAAAAACAAAACAAAAAAGATTAATCAAAATTATATTTATTAAAATATATATTTATGGCGTTTATTCTAGTGGGAACTTCAATATATCGTCAAGGTGTACGTGATGAGTTCTGTAATTTCAAACCAGTTTTGAGTAGCGAATGTTGACAATTTGGCGAAGGATTTTTAAAACAGTTAATTGTTGTGTGATGTAATCAGTATAAATTATAAATTGTGAGAAAATAAATCCGATAAGTATTTTATCGTGAGTTTAAATTAGCGGACCCACAGAATCCGTAACAATATGCAACCAGTAATACAGTATCAGCATTTTATTTTGTCCTGCCTATTTTTAATAGTTGTTGACTGTTCTAATATTCGAACAAAAGCGCTCGAATATTAGAAAATTTTAAAAATGTTCAAGCTGTCCAATGACATTTTATAGGATAGATAAATAACTTACCATTGATGAAGAACTGGATCCCCTCTAACAGCTATTAAGTAACAGCAGTTCAATGGTTTTCCTCGATTTCTTCTGCACACAAGTTTCATTTCATTTAAATCTCTTTTATGGCCACCATAAATATTAGTTGCAGCTAGTAGAACTTACTTGTTTCTAATAGCAATTGTCCTTTCGTATACCTAAATAAAAAAATATATATTAAGTATTAAATAATTTTTTATTATAGCAATTTTTGAAGCTATCAGAAAACAGACAATAACATAAATTATCTTAATATTTCGAACTATCTAAAAATAACAAACAAATAATACACATTTTGTTAATATTAATTTGAATAAGTTATAAAGAGTTATATAAAATTAAAAGAAAGACTTTTATTGATAACTTCAGAAATAATATAAAAATTATAAATTTCCTTGATATGGAAGTAATACAGTGTCTGTATTTTATTTTGTCCTGTCTTTAATAATCCGTTTTATTATTGTTTTAGTTAAAAAAAAAAACGAAAAAAAATAGAGCATGTTAATATTGGACCAAAAGAGCTTAAACATGATGGAAAATTTAATATTTTTATAAGATTTTTAAATTTTATAAGAAGTTGAGAGACATAACTTACCATTATTAAAAGGCAACAGGTGTTGAAGTCAATCCAGTAAATGACATTTTTCTGTGTCCATTAAAGATTTTCCATTAAAACTGGAATTTGGACTGGAAACAGCTGTCAAAACGTCCATTAATACCAATTTGTATTGCTTACTAAAAATACAAATAAATAAATAAGTAAATAAGTAAATTTTTATAAAGTCAGTTTCTTCACACATTTTGGAATAAAAAGTTTTTTTTTAATATGTTAGGTAGATATTAAAAAAATAAACGCAATAGTAACTCTTTAAAATATTGTCAATTATTCATAAATTTTTACAAAAAGAAAACATACTAAATAAAATTAAAATTGTCTGATACAAATTTGTAAATAACTATAAAGATTGAAAAAAAAATATATTAATATATTTTCAATCTCAAACTTATTTTATTTTGAATTTGAAGCCTACAATTTTGTAGTGAAATACAAAAATTGTAGCCTTAAAAAATAATAAAAAAATAAAAATAACTTACCATTTTCATAGCGCAATGGTAATGAAGGCCAATCAATCTCAGTACTATTGATTGTATCTTGAAATTGTCATTTGTGGGTGAGATTTTCAGTGTCATTCCATTCAAAAAATTCCTTGGCATTCATCAAACTAATGTACAGTTCTAACTCATTTGCAGATTTATAACAGCAACTGTTAACGCCCAGTACATCACTCGAACAGATATCTAAAAATAAACAAATATTAAAAAGTATATTAATTTGTACCAATGTAGAAAATTAAAATAAATAAGAAAACATGGTAATATCAATATAGATAGGCAAAATACAAAATTAAGTTGATTTGAATAAAAAAATTCTAATAAATTTAAAACTAAATATTGCACCTAGAGTTATTGAAATATACACATTATGTGTACAATATGTCATAACTTCCAAGCTTTCCAAAAACCTTAATAGGAAAGAAAATAATGTAAAAAAACATACCATTTTTGAAAGATATCTGCGTTGTTGAAGTCAATTTAATGTCCTGTATCTAATGTAGAATAAATTGGTCATTTGTTAGCCTTTTCCCAGTTTAAATTCTGTCAAAACTTCTTTGGTGCTTCTAATAATTCATCCAAGTTGTTATAACAGCTGCCATTCTACATTTCCACCAATAGATATGCTTGCATAAAACATAAATAAATAAAACTTGATGTCCAAGATATCAATAACATCTATAAAAAAATAAAAGTTGTGATAAGTAGGTATTTATTTTTTGCAACTAGATGAAAAAAATTACCTTAATACAGTTGCTCCAAATTTCATTCAAAAAATTTCCGTTACAGCGAACAAAATCCTCCTCCTTTCCTCAAACATTTCTATCTCCTTTTCTTCTATTTCAAAGCAATCCTCTTCCATCTTCTCTGTCCTCTTCTATTTTCCAAGTCTCACCAATTCTTATTCAACTACTTATATAACTAACTTATACAAATTTCAGGCGTCTTACAAACATTTTTCAAAAAGGAGGAAAAGGGATATAATGCTACAACAAACGACTACGCTAGCGCACCTACCTAAAAAAAAGAAAAACACGTTTTTTAGTCAAAGAAAATGATAAATATAAAGTTATATAAATATACCTGATGGCATCTAGAAGATGGCCCTAATCCTGCTGTTGTCCCCCAAAAAAAATCATTCCAAAGCAGCTTAGTACTAAAAAGATTTATGCAGGAACAAACTGAATTTAATTTTAGTAACAAAAATAAATTACTAATACTTTAATTCTCATTATAATGTAAAATTACATTATTTACTAATTTACGTTTAATTAAAAATCACTATTAAAAAAATTAAATAATATTATCAATTTTAAAATAAGACGAAAAATATAGTTATTTCCAAATATAATAGAAAAACAATATGCTACCTAATTTTGTCTCTCTAGAGTTATTTTTTTATTACCCATTTATTATTGCTAAAAAAACTTTATATTAAAGCCTTGTATAGAGTAAGAAAAAAAGTAAAAATGAATGTAAAGATTGCAAATTAAAAATCAGTACTTAATGCAAAATTCTGTAGATGTAGGGAACCTAAAGTTACTGCTTTGGAACCACGACGCGAACCGACTTTTGAAATTCTCCAAGCCATACTGTATCACCTGTAAGAGAAAAAAAAATAATATTAAAATATTTCTAACAAATACATATGCTAGAAGAAACAAAAAACAAGCTATAGACAACAAAAAAAAACAATGTAAAAATTTAAAAACTCACCATCACATCTTGCTTAAGTTCATTTTCAGTCCCACCATAATAATTATACGGCGAAAAAAGCAGTGGCGTCTCACTGCTATGGGGCACATCGAATGCCCCCAACTCCATGGACTTCGGTCGATCCTGTAGAGTTGACAATAAACACGTTTTCCAGGTATTCGACGGTACCTGGAACAATCCGAATTTTTTTGGGACTGATCATATGCAGCATGTAGACAGAATTTTTGACTTCTTCAATCTTGTTTTTTAAAATCGCGCTGCGAAACCGGGTTGTACTAAAAAAATGAAAAAAAAAATTAGTTATATAAGTAACTACAAGTTAAATTAGAATTTAAACTTATATCTACTATAAGTTTTAAAAAAGTTGCTCTAATTACTATACAAGTTATTCTACTTTAATTTGAAGCTCATGTAACAAAAAAACTAAAATATACAACACAAAAATAAATAATAATATAAAAAGAATTTTGATTGCTACATGGTGCGATAAAAAAATTATTTGGTAGAGAGTACAGTAAAAGTTTGCAATTTAATGTAATATAAAAAATGGACTTACTTTTAACAGGTTTAAGTTAGGCCTGGTTATGCTCGCCTCCTCCCGACATTTTCTGCCTTCAAAATTCGACGCGGGGCAGACCAAGAGAAAAAAACAAAAAAATGTTTCCACGACCCGTCTGCGAGTGTGTGCTGGTTGCCTTCCTTATGCAGATTCGACCCATTGGTCGACGATTAAGCCTCACCAGTCAGTTCCCATCCCAATTAAGCCGCCTCGTCTGGGGTCACCCTCGTCACCCGTCGAACGGACATCCACCGGGACCCCCTACAGGCGGACCCCCCTCATCATCTTCAATGTGTCCGATATCCCGCCCCCTGCCCCTTCGAGGGTCACGGAATACGTGCACGAAGAAATCTCGGAGCTTGGGTGCCAGGTTGTATCCGGCCGAAGCCTCTAGCATTAGAACACCTAGCTCGTAAATCAGAGGGTGGTGACTCCCTTGGGTACCTCTGCATGCTACACAGGTCATCGATGCCCGAGCATCAGGGTTAGGGGGTGACCCAAGAAGTCTCCTCTCTTGGGGAAGGCCGCGCCGCGCTCTGGAGTCATCTTAAGCCGGGGATCCACACCGACAAAAACACTGTTAACCAACCGCATCAGCTAACGAAATTCACTAATGTTGAATTAGGAAATTTTATTAACCAACACAGAGAGCTAGCAATGCTCGTGTGAGTGAGGAAGGAGTGGTTGGTGTTGTAGTATTAATATAACGCGCCTAAAAAAAGAAAAAATATTGGAATACCTATAAAAATATTATCAAACACCTATAAAAATATTACGACAATATATAAATAGGTATATTTATTTTAAATGAAAAAAGAGATGCTCCATTTATACCTCAGCAATATTTTATAAGATTTTTCCTTGATTATTATACCAAAAATGTCAAAAATATAAAGCTGTTAGGTATATGACAGAAAAAATGGATATAAATTTGATGAATATGGTCAAAAACCAAAGAATTTTTCCTTGATGTAACACAAAAAATAAAATACAAAAGGAGTTTTTAGAGTTGTAACATATTATTTAGAGCTAAAAGTTAAACCTACAGTGTTTCAAATAAATAAAAAATATTAAAGTTATATTTTTTTAACAAAGAGACATCCTATATATATTTTATTACATTTTTAGTTTCTACTATGAAGACACAAAAAACATTCGATCAAAATTTACGGCTTATACTGTTTTCGAAATATTTAAATTTTTATAAAAATTCAGTAACAATTGATTTATTTATTCAATGCAAATTTACACAACACATACATATATAATACTGAATTAGCAAACATCATTTGTTAACATTAATACTATTTTTTAACATGTAATATTACATAACGCCAATAACGCGCTTTAAAAGAGAAATATATTTTAAAATACCATATATCAAAAATCATTACAAAAATGCTGAAACATAAATATATGTAGGATTCTTAAATAAAAAAAATACGTAATAAAATTCCTAATGAACCTACCTATTTAAAACTTAAATACAAAAAACCTACTCATTCAAAATATTATCAAAATGCGCATATTATATTTTTAAAAAATAAAGAAAACTCCAAGAATGCCCTATAAAAAGAAATTTAAATTAAAAATAGCAATTTAGAAAAAATCAAGACATCGAATTCCAACAGGCAGCCATTTTATTTAAACATTCCTTGACGGAAAAAATTAAACAAAAAATCAAAGATACATTACGTAATTTACCAAAAACGTAGTACTATTTTACCCTTATGTAACACGCAGTATACAAAGTATCGAAAATACATAGTTTTACATACTTATTTATTAATCTACGTATATTATTTAAACAATATTCTTAAAAATTAATAACTTAATGGGGAACATTGAGAAAACGGCAGCCATGATGGATATTGCGAAATCCAAAAACTTTAAACTAAAATATCTCAAAAAATACATAAAATTACGGGTACTCACTTTTTCAGGAGGCTAAGCAGGGCACTAGTAACAGATTACGCATAAATTGTGTACACTAAACGCACTTTTTCGTCAGAAAATTAAAAAAATCGATGCAACCGACGGGAGGACGTGCGGATCCTTCAATTGCAAACGACCCAAGGAGGACCGGCGTTGCCAGATTGAAGTCGTTCGTAAAATTTAAGCTGCTCATAAAATTAATTTATTTATTACTAATAAAATAGTTTATAGAAAAATTCTTGTAAATTATGCTTAATTTTGTTCTCAAAAGTTATTATTTACTCAATACGTTCCACTGAAATCGTTTTTTTACGTAAGGTAAAATATTTATTGTCATAAATAAGAAACAAATAAGTAATTATAAACATAAGCATACAAAAATCATGAAATAAACATAAAATGAAGCTGTTTAAATACATTTTTAATGCTATAAATACATCGAAACCAAGAATAAAGACTATAATGTTAATACGTAATTACAAGAAGAAATAAAAGTAATTTCTACAAAACAACATTACTGGTACTTGTTTTATTAAATATATATAGAAATTACCCTCACTATAGTGCCAGTGATCAATTTAAACTAATATAATTTCACAAAAACCACATAGAAAAAAATGTTTTCGGCATTTATTAACAATCTGGCAACATCGAAGGAGAATAAAATTCAAAACCTCCAAGCGACCGAAACTGACCAATCACGAACGAGTATTTTTTGCTCTTGGATGCCTTGATTTAACTTTTTTTTAATAAACACGAACGGTTTTTATTAAAATTTCAGTAGAATATGCTTCTTTAATTAATTAAATGATTTGTCTTTATTTGTATTTATTCCCTCCAGTATAAAATATCATACAAAACTTATTTTATATTGAAATTATCTGGTAGGCACATAATTAGATGAACTATAAAATCATGCATTTCTTCAATATTTTAATAAATTATTAAGAAACAAGTGTTTTTATTCAATAAATATCCCTTAGTTTAATAAGAAACTAATTCTATATAGTTAAATAGTAAGAAATGTGAGATAAATTATTTAAAAAAATAACTTCACAAGTCTTTAACTTGACTCAACGCTAACAGCTCTTACCGGATGTATCTGTTCAACTTTTGGCGCCACAATTTTCAAATTTGAAATTTAATTAAACTGAATTATTGCTGCTTTATTTACAAGAAAAAATTAATTAATAAGTAAAAATTAGTTATGTATTCGTTATTTACGAGTTCTCCGGCGATGGCAACACCGGCGGAGAATGCACCAAGCCTATAGGTAGGAAATGCTTTTTAAACATAGGTATTAATAAAGACAAATTAAATGCCATTAATCAAATTTATTTTTCCTTTAATCATGCACAACACAAAAAAAGCAACCCGCTTGAAACATACATTTATTAAATATTAAAACTTGATTATTTCCTAAATATTTGTAAATCATCTTTATGTATCACTTATTGTAGACAAGGATGTAAGATATACGCCATTCAAAATACCTATTTTATACATAGTACATATCAAAAGTTACAAATGCTGAAATAAGTTTGAGCAAATTCGATTTTGTCTCAAAAATATTAAACTGATTTTTGATCGAGGTTAATTATTCCAGTCACACAAAATCTTTTTTGTCTTTAATAAAAAAAACAACGTCATATTAGGCGAAGAAATAAATATTTTATTACAAGTTTTACTATATCTATTCATCAAGTTATTAATGGTGAAAGTAACAGCTGGTTAGTTTAGTGTTATTTGAAAAAAATGAAACAAATATCAAAAAGTGCTTGTAATTCCAAGAACTTTAGCAACAGACATAGTAAAGCTCTAACTATATTGTTATTTCTATGCCTAGTATGTCGTTGTTTTACATTGTGTATTAAAAAAAAAAATGAAAATATACAGGGTGTTTCAAAAAACATGAGCCAGAAAAAAAGTCAGCGGGGCACATCTTTTCTTTCAAAAGTTATAATATATATGAAGTAAATATTATGAGAAAAAAATCGAACATGTTCTTGACATATTTCCTTATCTATTTTGTTATTACAGTCACCATTATATACAGTTTTAACCATTTTATATTTCATCTTCTAACGTGTAATTAATAATAATATCCTATTGAATCGCGGAAAACATAACCCTGTATATCAGCTGCACTCCATTTTTTTGGGAAAACATTTTCCAACAAACCGGCTATATACAAGGCGTTTCTTCCTTTCATATCACTACTTTAGGTCATGCACTCTACAGGGTGGTCCGAAATGTATTCCGGAAACTTCGGCAGCATATTCTGCAGATAAAAATAATTAAAAAAGCTCGTATAAATGTATGCCTTAAAATGCTTAGTTTCGGAGATACAGGGTGTAGAAGTGTCATTTTTATTTCGATTTTTTCCAAATAAATTCTGAAGTAACGTCAATATTTGGATGAAAAAGAAAACTGTTTTATCATAATGACATCAAAATCAAATTTCTCATGTCAAAAAACACCAATCTTCATCCAAATACTGACGTTATATCAGATACATAAGATATTATTTGGAAAAAATCGAAATAAAAATGAAACTTCTACACCCTGTGTACATTTATACGAACTTTTTTAATTATTTTTATCTGCAGAATATGCTACCGAAGTTTCCGGAATACAGTTCGGACCACCCTGTATATTTAATAATTTGATAAGGATAAAACTTAAGTTGTACTTAATTGATACTCGCGAATATAAATAATTAATAGAAAATAAACACATATGATTAAAAAACTAGCGCTATACAATAATTGTGAAGAGAACACACAGAGTTAATTTCACACATTTTTCATAATATATTAAACATCTGTATCTAGTTTTCTATATATGTACACGATCTATTTAAAAAATACATCTCTAGTCTAACGAACCTGTACATAATATATAGCGGAAAATTTTAAATTCTAAAACTAGTAATTTTCAAATTTACCGCCATAATCTCAGCTTCATACATACGTTTTAACTACGAAATAGGTCAAATACACATTCAGTCCATCGGTTACTTTTTTCTAAATCGGTACAAAAAATAAACTAATGTATAATTTTCAAGTCGGACAATGCGTTTCGTAAGTACCGGTACATTAGAACTACTAAATCGCGCCTTAATTTTGATCTTTTTTATTCTATTAAAGCTATAACGTTTAAATGTCATTAATACTCGAAAAAATGATTATGTTCAAAATAGAGAGCAGTTGTACAGGGTGTGTCAAATTCAACGCTTTTAAATGGAAACACCCTTTTCTATAGGAGATAGACAAAAACTAATATCGGTGTCTGGAGCTCAATTTTTGTCAAAAACATGATGGTGAAAACCGCATATCGATATCTGTTACCGTTTCGGAGTTACGTTTTTCAAAAATATGCATTTTTAACAAATCGCTGTAACTTTTTTGCTATGGACACATTTCCACACATTATTAACATTTCCAAAGCACCTTTTTACGTAGAATTTAATGATTTAAGTATAATTTTTTTAAAATTAATAATTTAAGAATTATCAACAGAAAATTTGATTTTTTATATGAGACACGCTGTATATCTTTAATTTATTGAAAAGAATTTAAAATTACCTTTCCAAAAATATACTACACTTGATATTTTGCTCGATTCCTCTTCGAGAGATAGAGTATACAAAAATTCGCCCGCTTTAAATAAGTAGGCTTTGAATGGCACCGGCTGTAATGCAAAAAAATTCTAGCTATGAGCATCAATTAAAACGAAAATAATATGTGTTATGAGAGATGCAGAATTTGATAACAATTTAAAATATATTTAACCAACATCAACAAATTTAAACTATATCTGATAACAATAAAAATAAATAGTAAACCAAGACATGGGATTTTGCTGCAGGTGTTCGACGGTCTTCTGTTATATCGACCATCTTCTGTTATGGACAGACGGGGCCGTTTCTGAACATTTCTCGCGGAGTTCATTAACTCAGTGGGGGTGAAAGATACCCTCTCATAACTGCTAAGTATTTCTAATTCTTGTCTAGATTATACGGAAGAATAAGGAACTTTTATTCTTCCGCAAATATATCCATAAAATTAGATCCATAGGCACTAAGTCAGGTGGCCTCGACGGCCAACGGCTGGGATCTTGGTTAGCTATTCAATTATTCTTGAAATTGGCTGCAAATATTTGCTGATAACTTCAGCGTTCTGAGGCGGTGCCTCTTCTTGCTGGAAAAATATGTTTTCGAGTTCCATTAAGGGCATATCATCAATAAGGGGTCCAAAGCCTACTAGTTAAAAGTGGCGAACTTTTAAAAATTCTCCTACTAGTTAAAAGTGGCGAACTTTTAAAAATTCTGTATTTCGAAGGGGAATATAACAGAATATCAAGTGTGCTATATTTTTGGAAAGGTAATTTTAAATTCTTTTCGGTTAATTAAAAATATAAAGGGTGTCCCAAATAAAAAATCATTTTTTCTGTTGATAACTCTTAAATTATTAATTTAAAAAAAATTATACTTTTTTTTTTTTGTTTTCACTCTTGGCTTTAGGTCGTTGGGGTTGCAAAGATGTTTCTAGATTTTGTTCATTATTTTTTATTTAAGACGACGTTTCGACAGTATATGTCTTTTTCAAGCCTCTTGAACGTAGATTCTTACAGAGTTAAAATTTTTCAAATTCAAGAGGCTTGAAAAAGACATATACTGTCGAAACGTCGTCTTAAATAAAAAATAATGAACAAAATCTAGAAACATCTTTGCAACCCCAACGACCTAAAGCCAAGAGTGAAAACAAAAAATATATAGTATACAGGTCAAAGAAACGAAACAAAAAAAAAAATTATACTTATACCATTAAATTCAAGGTAAAAAGGTGCTTTGGAAATGTTTTCATAGAAATACAAAATTTTCCATAGCAAAAAAGTTACAGCGATTTGTTAAAAATGCACATTTTTTAAAAACACCCTGTAACTCCTAAACGGTAACAGATATTGATGTGCGGTTTTCACCATCATGTGTGTGACAAAAATTGAGCTCCAGACACCGATATTAGTTTTCGTCTATCTGCTATAGAAAAGGGGTTTTCCATTTAAAAGCGTCGAATTTGACCCACCCTGTACATTCGAACTACGCACCTCAACTGGCTCGTAAGGTTAAAGTTAACGCAGTAACAGTATCTTTCTAATCTAAATAATGAAAAATTCTAGTACTTTATCAAAATATGTACGTTCTATAGAAATGAAAAAAAAACACATTTTTTTGGCAGTGATAGTGGAAGTTATAGAAGAGACATGGAAGAATGATAAGCGCAATTGAAATTAACGTATTCTTAATCTGAAAACAAAAAAAAATAGTTTGATGGGGGCGGTGGTACATCCGAACTACTGATGTTTGGTCGTCCCATTTATTACGAATTACGAAACTCCATTAAAGCTATCGAAATTTTATGTAGTATCTGTTCGTTTCAGATAACGTCTGTACTAATTGAACGTGGACATTTTGTATTTTTTCCTTGAATTGCTTTACGAACACTTAACTATGTACCTACGTAACTATCGACTTTCTTAGTGCATATACTCGATTTCGGGCAGTTTTATAATATAAAAACAACGAAATCCGACAAATTAGTTCAAACGTATCAGATTTTTCATGGTAGTTCAAACGTACTAGATATACAGGGTGTAAAAAAGTTCGTGTAAATGTATGTCCTAAAATGCTTAGTTTCGGAAATACAGGATGTAGAAGTTTCATTTTTATTTCGATTTTTTTCAAATAATTTATGAAATAACGTCAATATTTGGATGAAAATTGGTGCCTGGGAGTTTTTTGATATGAGAAATTTGATTTTGATGTCAATATGACTCCTACTTGTAGAGGGCGCCACCTACATATTTTTTTTACTGGTTTGATGAGTAATAACTTTTCGTCCGTACCTGTATAAAACTACTGAATAAAAATGTACATTTACGAAGTTTTTTACGTAAAAAATGTCTCTTGGTAAAAATCGCTACGAGTAATGGTTCTCGAGATATTTGGAATCGAAATTATCATTACCTATCATTATTGACATAAATTAAACATGTTGGCTAAATAGTTATTATATAGACTGAAATCATAAATTTGAAATGTTTTTGTACCAAAAGTACAACGGAAACTGTTTTATGATCAAGTTTATGATTAATTTAAAAAAATAAAAAATTTCCAAATTTATTATTTCAGTTAAGTAACTATCCACTCAACGTGTTTATTTCCTGTCAATAATGACATGTATTGACTATTTTCATTCTATATACCTTGACCGATTTTTACCAAGAGACGTTTTTTACGTAAAAAGTCATGAAAATGTATATTTTTTCACTCCATAGTTTTATACAGGTACGGACGAAAAGTTATTATTCTTCAAAGCAGTTAAAACACATGTAGGAGGCGCCATCTACAAGTAGGAGTCATATTGACATCAAAATCCCAAATTTCTCATGTCAAAAAACTCACCAATTTTGATCTAAATATTGATGTTATTTCAGAAATTATTTGGAAAAAATCGAAATAAAAAAGAAAATTCTACACCCTGTATTTCCGAAACTAAGCATTTTAAGACATGCATTTATACGAACTTTTTTACTTATTTTTATCTGCAGAATATGCTGCCGAAGTTTCCGGAATACAGTTCGGACCACCCTGTGTATACATCTTTACAATTGACATCTAATGTGTTATAGTCCAAATACAGAAAATACCACAATGTAGTTTAAACGTTTCAAATGCTTTGCAGTAGTTCAGACGCACTAAACATAATCAATGCACTAAAAAATCGATTTACATGCCAAAATATGGTTTCGAGTGTTAAAAACGGTTCAAAATCGAGTATATAAACTCAAACTGAAGTCAATGGGATATCGGGATTCCCCGATTTCTATTTTTTTCAGTAAATTTTCGGCGCGGACCTGTCGTTGATGATTTTCGCTCGCTTCAGCGTCGCACCACGCTTGATCTGATCCATGAGCGACTCGTGGCACACTTTCGGATCAGGCTAGAAGCAAAACAGAAAGTAAAATTAGTAGTTTATCAAAAGTTCTGTAAAAAGTATATGCTTAAGCACTAGAGGAATAGATATTAAAAGTAATAAACGCCGACATCTCTTTAGTTTTAATTTTTGTTATTAAAGATTTTTTGTTATCGAGTTTTTGAAATAATACATCAAAATTGGCGCAGTCGGTAGGATACTACCGAAAAAATGGATCTCTTCGGATTTGTGTCAATTAATCCGAATACAACAACATGGTTTAAAGTTTCAACTACTAATTGGATATAATTTAATATCTCTCAATGAACTAATAGTACGAGAGCTAGCAACGTCGGAAAAACAAGTATTTTAAGACGTCTGGCTCCGGTAAACGTTGTCAGAATATAAACGAAAATAAAATAAAAAAGTCTTTGACCTGACCCGGATTCGAACTCTGAATCATCGGTTCGTGGTCGGAAACTCTACGCACTGCGCTATGGAGACATGTTCGATTTATATTCAATACTAGAATTTATAGGACTAAATTAATAAAAAATATAGGATCTTCTTCCGATGCGCAGTAGTGAACGCAACGGGTATCGGCAGCCAGAGGGGCCGCATGCTGTTCCAGAGAGCATAGTAAAAGATATATCAAAGAGCCAGACGTCTTAAAATACTTTCTCGAAAACGTTGCTAGCTCTTAGACTATAATGATAGCCATTTTTTTAAAAACTGATATATTAATAAATGGGGTAATAATTTTATAAATTATACAATTTGAACATGTTATTGAAAGACACCAAGTGCCTCTCTGAAGTTACAGAATATCGGTGATATTCTACAATAATTCGTAGGGACAAAAATAAAATTTCAGTTTTGTAAAATTAAACTTGTTTTTTGTGAAGTTAGTAGATTCTTCTTTTTTATTCACTGATTATTAACAGGTTTTTATACATTTTAATATCTATAGTTGGAGAGCGTTATTTTTTTAATAAGGACACAAAAAAAACGACAAAATTAAGAACAGGTTAAAATGGACAAAAAATAAAACCAGAAAATCCAACAAACAACTTTAGCTCACCCCTAATTTTAATAAAAATCATCTCGTGGGATGTTCTGTAAGGCAAAATAAAAACGTATAGAACTATATTTACAAATCCTATAGATACGCGGATATTCTGTACAGGGTACCACATTTTCGTGTGTTTATAGGGTTTCTCGCTTATAGATAGCTTATAATAGAGGTACAAAGATACGGTTTTTACACCACCATGGTACTGTTGCGGACCGGTGTGGACTCGACCTAACCTAACAATACGGCCCGCCCTCGGATGACCTTAACATCGCATAGACACCGTAATGATTCATTCGAAGATTCGAGAAGTATCTAGTTCTACTGGAATGGAGTAGTACATACGAGAACAATCGAAACCTTCTCTATGCATCTAACGATCTATGGACTATTCTAGAGAGGGCAGTTATAAATATACGAGTGCAGTTGACGCGCTAAAATTCAAAATAAATTCTTAGTTATAAAACGTTTGTAAATAGTTCTTTAAGTATTTTATCGTTATTGTTTTTGTTAATTAGTGTTAAATAAATAGTGTTTAAATAAATTGTGACTTTCTATCCACACGGAACCGACGAAAAACGTAACAGTACTTTTGAAATGTAACATCAGATGATGATGAAAACTGATGGTTAGCTTCAAATGTATGTTAGCGAAACGAGCATCCAGTGTTAAAAGCAGGGTTGGAAAAAATCATAATTTTTTTAATAAAATAAAAAAAAATCGGATTTTTTTTATTTAAATCAGATTTTTTTGATTTTAATTCAAAACAATATTTAAATCGGATTTCCAAATGACTAGGACTTATTTCCAATTAAAGTCCTATCCTAAATGGCTAAATCTTTATAACTCTGAGCGATACCCATAACATTAACAATTCTATGGCGCGTGTCATTTTTCCACATCGGTCACCAATATATTCCGCAAAAAAAGTCGCTCGCTTCAGATCAAAAGGATTTTCTTTCAAACGTCTCAAAAGCAGGGTTGGAAAAAATCATGATTTTTTTAAAAAAATCAAAAAAATCAGATTTATTAGATTTAAATCAGATTTTTTTGATTTAAATCTGATTTTTTTGATTTTAATTCAAAACAATATTTAAATCGGATTTCTAAATGACTAGGACTTATTTCCAATTAAAGTCCTATCCTAAATGGCTAAATCTTTATAACTCTGAGCGATACCCATAACATTAATAATTCTAGGGTGCGTTTGTCATTTTTCCACATCGGTCACCAATATATTTCGCAAAAAGTCGCTCGCTTCAGATCAAAAGGATTTTTTTTCAAACGTCTCAAAAGTATTAATTTTTGTCATTTTAACGCCTAGGTATAAAAGTAAAGCACTGTTACGCCTAAGCACAAAACTACAAAAATATATTCTTAAACTGATATTAAGTGTCAAATTCAACGAGTGTACAAATTGTTGCTCGATTACTGTTTATATTATTTGCAATGTTTGAAATTGATTAAAAATGATTTGTAATGTTTTAAAAAAATAGTATGTATGTTCTATTAGGAGTAAAAATGTACTTTTTGTGCTTCCTTGTAACGTCGGAATAGCTTTACGATGGTCCTTCAAAGGTACAGCATCATCAAAAAAAGTATAATTTTTACTCCTAATAAAACAATACACTATTGTTCGGAAATATGCTTAAGTCGAGAATGAAATTAGTATTATCTAATGTCAAAGCGTAAAATACTTACTGCAGATCAAAATGTCGTAAGAATTTGGAAAAATACAACCATTTTAAAAAAATATATAAAACAACATATTTCCTGACAACGATTATTATAGATTCTCGGGAATGAAGATATAGACTCTATATCAGAAGAACCTAGTTCTGCACTAGTCTGCAAAAAGATATGTATTGGAACAGCGAATTTTTGTCAATTATACATAAATTTTAAAATAAATCCCTGCGTTTAGCGGTCTTGGATTCGCACGAAATTACTTTAAAAATCGGTTCATAATTTAAATTGATGAATAGATATTTTTATACAGTTTTATAAAATTTACAATTATTTTTCGATTTATTATCTATTATATCTGTTATAGAAATATTTTTTATAGTTTTCTAAGACAGATTTTTATAACTTTTACAGTTATATTTTGATTAATTATAAAGTTTCAATAAAATTAATTTTTTGATTTAAATTACACCACACACGATTAAAATTAAAACAATCACTTGATTTAAATACTTTTATGCGATATATTAAAATTAAATGAGATTTGAAGTTCCGTTCTAATGAGCTTAACTGAACATTTACATATTTCGTCTACTTCAATATCATATGTGAAAATATATAAATAACAACATTAAACAATGAAGGCATATAATTTACTCTAGTTTTAAAAATACTTTATTCTTTTACCTATAACTTTTATATCCTTTTTGACAAATTTTCTTTATCCAAGTTTTTATTATCGAATATTCATTAAACAGAGTATCAATATCTACATCTACTTCTTTTAATTCTAAAATTTCTAAGATTTTAGTTAATTCGCGGAAAAGAACTGTTTTTAAATTCAAGAAATTAACAAACCTGTATTTTTAATAATAAATTTTACAATTTTATTGTTTAATAAAAACGTGGCTATTAAAAAAATAAAAATTGGGACATTAGGGCTTTGCGTGGGGACGCGGGACTTTTGGATCAAAATAGAGACTGTCCGGACAAAAACGGGACGGGTGGCAACACTGCCGTTACCATTTTCTCGCGGACTCGTGTCTTACGGCCGTCATTTAAGGCCGTGTGTCACAAGCATTTTTAGTTTCATTACAAAGCAGCACAGCGATGTGAAAACCGCATCTATATATCTCTACTCGTAAACGAGAAACCCCATGAAACTCACGAAAATTGGACACCTTGTACAATCTCGTAAAAACAGACCGCTGTTATACAGGGTGTCCCAGGCTGAGCGTGCATTAGAAGTTTCTGGAGAACTACAACATCTAGATCTGAGATTTTTTGCACATCATAGTTTCACAACTTGTTGTCACAAATCCTTTGAATTCAAATATAAACATAAAAAACATTTACAGCAGAAAAGGCGAAGGCGCTGGGTTAAACGTAGTCTCCACTAAAAACACGGAGGGGCGCTTTAACCCACATTTTTCTATTAAGTTTCATATCTATCTTAATAGTAGATTATTTTCTTTTATCTATGGGTATAGACTGTCTAACATCAATATTCATAGAATTTTACAGAAAATTTAAGTATGTAGTAAAAAATGGGAGACCCATTTAAAATAAGGCAGTTGCTGTCAATATTAAGAGAGTGCCGCCATATTGAAAATATTTTTAATTGATAGATCTTGTAAAACAACGATGTGCAAAAAATCTCCGACCTAGATATTGTGGTTCTCTAAAAACTTCTAATGCACGCTCAGCCTGGGACACCCTGTATACCATACTTCATGATCTTTACCTGTGCCTTGCTGTTGATCAACTGTCTGATCTTGCTGGCCTTCAACCCAGTAGCCGGGCCGGTACCCCCACCGATGTGCTGCTGTGCCAGTTTGGCGTTCAGCGAGTCCAGGAAACTTTGTCCCGGTCCTCTTTGCGGCTGCTGGAACTTCGCGGCCGTTAGGGCCGCCACCTGCTCTTCGCTACATCGTCTGGAAGCCCTGGGACTCAAATTGGGCGCCAATTTGGCGTTCAGGGAGGCTATGAAGTTCGAGCCCACTTTAGGTCGACCTGTGCCAAAAAAATAGATCGATTAATAGGAATTTCAACAAATCAAATTATTACTGCAACTGTATACTCTGTTTTTTTTTTCTCAGGTGAGATTTCGACAGACGATGACAGAAGAAAAGCAGATGACGTCCCATACCAATCTATTTATTTTGTCTGTCAAAGTGTCTAGTCACTGTCACCAAACTAACCAGCGCGAGAAGGCTGGTTTTTCTGGTTTTCTTTGTCAGTCAATGTCATTTATGTGACAGAAATCAAGCAAATATTGGAAGTTTGAGTGAAATTCTCATTTAATTTCTAAAATTTGTTATAATATTTTGCATTTACATCCAAAAGCAATGGAGGTAGGCAGTAAAGGTAAATAAATTTCATTAACTAAATAGAATGACTTTTTAGGACCATTTAAACTTATCATGCAGCCATTGTTTCTTAAAGTCAGGAACATTTAAAGAAAACATGAAAAACAAGACAACAAATAATCGTGAATGTTTTTAAGCTATAAAAATATAAATATTGATTAGATTTGTTTATTTATTAATGATCTGTTTTAATATTGGACCTGCAAATCTTCACTTGAGCTGTCTAACGAGTTTAACAGTTTATTAATAAAGTACTTTTCAATATTAAACTCCATTGGAAAGACGAAGCAAACGCAAAAACAGAGAATAGGTACATTAAAAATGCATAAAAGAAAAATTTTATAATAAAGGTATTGAAATTTAGAAAACGTCAACATTTGACATTTCCAGTATTTTACCAAACCGTTCCGTATCAAACCAATGTTTTTCAAGAACCGCTCTTTACCGTAGTTTACCGGTCTGGTTCGCCTGGTTTTGCAACGGAATACAGCCTCAGTTTGTTTTGACGCTAGTGATAACAGGCACACAATATTCGAATTTCTTAAATGTATTGCCAACCAAACGAGCAAGATCAGAATAACCAACTATTTCAATCAGTGTATAATCTATTAAATAACTAGGTATTATACCTTCTGACGGTCTCTCTGCGCTTTGTGACCTGAAGCTAGTTATCTTTCGGACGGCATTGGGACTTCCCCCGACCACTTGAGAAGGTTGAGCATATACCACGCCCCCAGATTGTGACAGATATGATACCTATCAAACAAAAAAAAAACTCAATATAAATCATTGATTCCATGAAATATGCATCTACGCTTACCTTAGGCGGTTGGCTTTGGAACGTGCTCAGAACCGTTCCCGGCGCGACTCCTCCCCCTTGATAGCTCACCGGCCTCTCATTGGCGGCCGGTTGACCTTGGAATATATTCTGGGCGGAGCCTGAAATTCCCGCCATGCGCCTGATCGAATTGGGACTGGCCGGAGTGTGTCTGAGTTCGGTGAGTGCTTTAACGGTTTCTGCCACGTTTACACCTACAGCAAGAGGTAATGTGTCAATTTAAATCGTAAATTCCCTTGTTGAATGCTCTGTATTATCTATGATCTAGTTATTACATAAAACTAATAAAATTATAAAATAAACAAGTATTATTACAAAAAAAAAAATAATAAAATTTGTAAAGAGAAAAGTCAAATATGTACCTGTATTTATCGATGCGACGGTATTGTGGGACGGCTGTTGTTGCTGATGCTGGTTAGTTTGCGCAGTGGGTTCCAGAAGGAACGCCGGCGGAGGTGGAAGGTTCTCCAAACTCCCCATACAGGCGGCCGCATTCGTTATGGAAGAAGTCCGGCGTATGGGTGGTGGAGGCTTGTTGGTCTGCATACTGCCTCTGCGCAGCAAGTTGTTGCGCAAAGTCCCCAACGTACTCATAGCTAGATAATTTCAAATTAAATAGTATTTTTGAGGTAAAATCCTTTTAAATTGATTAAAGTAAGGAAGCAAATCAAACTAGAGGATGCAATAGATCAGTACCTGTCATGGATAAGGGCCTACGCTTCTGGACGTCGCCTGCGTTCGCGTTACGGGGTAGGGTACAATATTTGCTTGCTGCGTTTGAGTTTGTTATATCTAGTAATAAACAACACAACAAGCTGGTAAAAACACGCACACAACACATGCAAAAATTGATATAGCCTGTCCAACGAGAGGATCCATGACAGTGACAGCCGTGTCTGTCACTTTCATTCACCAGTAAACAGTATTTTTAATTTTTTTAAATTTTCCCTGTCTCGATGGACGGACAATATTTATAGTGGAGGTAAATGGGTTTATGGGGATTTTAATTTATTCAACTACAATAACTTTAATTTGGATTAATAGGGGAATATATTAAATCTATATTCTGTTAAAGTTGTGCAAGACTAAAAAGGTGCCGGGAAATTGAAGAAAAATCATCTTAATTTATTGTTATAATAAATAGAGAGATTACACAGTTTAACCACAATATATCAATATACTTTTTTCATCAGACGTTTCGCTAATGATAATACCACAGATATACAGATAAAAATCTTGTCCCTAATTCGTGGTACGAAAATTGTTTTTTATGACGATGTGCAAACGAGTAAAATTTCCTGCGCGTAAAATAACAATAAACAGCGTAATAGAGAGATATCGCTAAACCGAATAGCGTGAGGTGGTATTAACTCTCTTCATTTATATTTATCGGATCGGAAAGAATTCTGTTCGCGTCGCGTCCGCTATTTAAACTTAACCTAACTTTGAATTTAAAACTTTGAAATTGTTTTGTTTACTAGGTATTTTAAAACTAAAGGGCTAAAGTGCTTATTTCCAGTGATTTATTGTTCAACGTCTGCCAGTGGGTTTAGGGCAACAAGCAACAAATTCTCTTATAAGGGCTAAGTCGTCATCTGCTGTAAACCTAAGCCTCTTTATAGGTTCTTTAATATTGGAAGAGGTGGAATCCATATTTTGGGCCATATTTATTTAATTAAAACTTATCCCAGCTACTTAAATATCAAATTACCTAATAAAACTGAAGTAATAATTCAAAACAATTCAAACATAACCTAAAATAAAAGATCTCGCCGGCCGGCCCCGGTTGTCAAATACCCGCACATGCCCATTTAAGCAACTTTTAAACGTTATTTAGAAATAGCGCTTGGTGTAATTGCTCCGCAAATTACGTCAGGCGGTAACGTTATTAGCGGGTGTTGCGTTAAAAATTGACTCGCGCATATCGTAACTATGATAAAGTACGCGTAAATACTGCATGACGCTATTCGGTTTTCCAATATCTCTCTAATAACTGTGCCGGTCAGGCGTTGTGCACAATTTTAGAGGCCATAAGTGGGCGTGCTATGTGCGCAAACTAGTAACCTAACTAGTACCCGATTCCGAAAATTGGAACCACGAAAAACAATAAAGAAAAAACAAAGTTTATAATCTGTGATAATACTATAAATATAATTAGAAACATTAACCTGATTTAGCTACAATATGAATATAGAATCATAGAAAAAGAGGTATACGAGGGTAAAAAAATAGTGTACCACAATTCATTGGGTTATTCTACAGACAAAAATGAAATAGAGTTCCTATTTCCTATGAACATAATCTGTAGTAGGTGTTTATGGAAAATGTTGCATTTAGGGTTGGAACTTTATTTTTCACAATTAGTTACTCATTTTACTACAGATGTAATAGATTATATTTAGCTTAGATATATTATCTTCATTTCAGTGGTGTACATGAAAGTTTTTAAAATAGTCTATTTTTTTTCTACACAAATTTTCCTACAATCGTAACCGGCAACACTGTATGCCGCTTTTGATTTTGTCTCTCTATCTGTCAACCGGTCATTTATATTATTCTCTGTCTTGCACGTTAAAATCCAGACCACACTTCTAAAATTTACATAAAAAAAAACTCATCTTCTTAACCGCACTTAAGGGACATAAAGGGCCCTTACTAACGCTTTCTCGTTCAAAAAATTCTAATAAAGTTGCGATTCGTTTTTTAGGACTATTAAGCTATCTTGTACACTTTGTACTAAAAGAGGTTCTAAAAAGAATAATCTTCGTTTGCAAGGTCTGCTAGTTAAAATTTTTAAGCTGAAAATATCACGACGCAAATCATTTAAACCAAAAACTCGTAATACAAAATTGAAGTGTCAAAACTAAGCATAATGTCAGGAAATAAATAAATAAGCTTATAAATAATATCCTATTCCAACGCGTTCTCTTTTCCGTACTACCACTCAAATCTATCTATAAAATATAATCATATTTGGCTAAGAGTTTATTTGTAATCATGTTTTAATGATGCTGAAACGACCAACCAACATTTTTTTGATGCATTGAGGTTAAGTGTAAATATTATGAACGATTGAATGAATTTGTTGCTTGGCCAAAAAACACTAGCGTTAAAACCTTTTTCAAATCCAAAACCAGTGCAGAAATCGACATGCTTAAAAAACTAAAAAATAAAAAATATGTCCTTTACCATCTGGATGCGGGCTATGTTCTTCGACGTTAAATGCGGTCTGGCTACCATAACCACTGGAAGACTCCAAGGAACTTTCGCTTGTGCTGCTTTCCTTCTCAGTGCCCTCTGGCTGTGATCCAAAAATATTTATTAATAACTCATTACACTAAAACACAGGGTGTTTATCTCACCTTCTCTGGAGGACTGATGAATTCAGCCGGCGGTGGTGGAAAGCTCTGACCTTGACTTTGAGCTTTATCCGCAGCCATACTGGCTAGTTCGTGCATGTTCACGTAAGTCGGCTGTAACAGAACAAAAAAAGGATAAAAATAACTATCAAATTCAAAAAGAATAAAAATTGTAACAAAAAAATATATGAAAATTGAATAAATCGTTTTGCCACGCCCTAAAACACACCCACCTGCTGAGGCACCACCCCCTTCGTCGAGGCCAAGTGAGCGGGCAGGGCGCTGGGCGGAGTCTTCCTTAACGCGGCCGCAGCAGCTAATTGCTCCGTCACTCCGGGCGGCAGGACTCGCACGCCTTGCATACCGACGATTGTTTTGGCTGGCACGCCCCCTGGTGGTGCGGAAGGCCGTTCCAAGGACGAACAACGCTAGAAACGGACTCATAAGTTTATAGTTCCTACCTTAAGGTGCACTCTCACGACTTGTCTACTTGGCAAGTATTCCCACCATTCCCCAATTGTAAACAACATCAGCAAGTGTGACGCTCACACTCAACAAGCACTCCATTTCAACAAGTACGCCAGCACAAACATTGTTTAAATCCTTGGCAAGTAAACAGTATAGTCGCATCGATGAATACCGGTCGTCCCGAAATTGTCGTTGCTAGTAATTCTTTTTCCTTTTTAAGTTCTTTCACTGTACACTGCAATACGATTTCTATGTTCTTTATGTTTGGCTATCCATATTATGAAGGGCTCATTTTCGTATAAATCCATAAATTCCAAAACATAATTTGAAGACTACACGGGAAAACCCAGTTTTGTCCATTTTAATCGGAGCCGAGAAAAATGCAATTTAGTGTTTTTAAAGAAATATGTTATTTTCGGTTGAACAATTAGAAAAATATACAGATTGTTAACTGGACGGTTACTTATTGGGGAACAGAATAGCAACACTGCTACATTCCAAATCAGTACTAAGCTAAGCTGACTCGTCCCGCCGCGACGAGCGGGCCGAGGTTGCCATATTTCAACCATAAAGCTCTTGCCACGAGTAATAAACAAATTAACAACCTGTATATTACTACCAATTCTGAATTATTAATATTGTCAATTATCGCCATATTCTGAAACACTGAAATAAAAATGTCAAAATGCAAAACAAAACTGGAGAAAACCAGGGATGTCCAATTAAAGGTTGTATAAAACCTAAATCTAAACTATTATTTTTTTGTTGTAGGAAGAAAATTAATATTTAAGTAGGTTTTTATTACAATACATAAATTTATAACATATAATACTAATTGCAAGATGCATGCTTGTCGCCCATGCGTAAGTACATCTCTGGTTTCTGCCATTTACGCGTGGACTACTCTGGTTTTTCCTTTGTACGGCAAAATAACCAAGCTGTAATATCTCTGGGACTAAGCGTATTATTGCTTTCTTTTTTCTCGATGACGTTAACATTGGTCTATAAAGTTGTATCGCTATCTTAATTTCTATGAAACTGTGACATATCTGGTTTTTCCCGGGTAGTCTTCGTTTGTCCACTTCATTTATTGATGAAGGAACGATTTAGGTATGTCGCCAATATTGAAGTTATTAATGTAAATTTGATATTATATAACCTATTATTGTTTTAGCGTTTTAAATTATCCACAATTAACTCGAAAAACACTACGATCCGGAAATAAACGGGACGTACTCTATAACAGTACAATTATTTGCGCAGTCGCTTTTTTGCGCCTCGGCAAGTATAAACAAGGCTAGCCAAGTACACTTGGCAAGTGTACGAATAATTATTGTGATCCTTTGACTCGGGCTATATTTACCGACAGAGAGTGGGGACGCGACGACTGACCAAGGAAACCGTTCTCACGACGTGGCGAGTATATTCCAATATCAAATGTCTGTCAAGTACACGAGTCGTGAGAATGCGCCTTAATACAAAATCTAAATATGGTTTGTTACCGTGGGTAGGGGTGGTTTCGACAGACTTTTCGTGGACAAGGATGGACTCTTCGGCGGTATGAGATTTGGCTTCGATTCCACTGTGGGCGTGACAGATGTCACTGGACTGGCCGGCTGAGACAGGCTCTGTTCGGGCGCTTGGAATGTGTAGACTGTCAAGGGGGGCCTTGAATGGCCCTTTTCGTAAGCTAGAATAGAATAAAAATATTTTTTTCATAGCAACTGTTAAAATTGCCTTATATCTATCAAAAATAGTACTTTAACCGCAAGGGTAGATTAAATGATACTTTCTCTCGATTTCTCCTCGCACGTTTTTAATTGCTTCCATTTTTGAAAATATTCGTATTCCTTTTCATAAGTTATTCGGGATTTAAATGGAAGTAGTTTGGATATGGCGTTTGTCGCCTCAGCCTGAATATCTGTTGGTAATTTACTTATTTCGTTTTGAGCCATTTCTGGCTGCAATTCAATCAGCAATCGACACGAAAGAGAATTAAAAAATATTGACTCAAAACTGACAACTAAAGAGACAGCTTTATTTATTTGTCAAATTACATAGAAACCAACGCCAACCCAGCACAATATTTTTTCTACTCGTAATAAATTCCTTGAAATAATAATTCCTGAACATTTTTTAAAACATAAATCGCTATGGAAAAAGATATTGCTTTATACACGACGATAAAATTGCCATTATCGTAAATATAATACCATTTTATCGTCTTGTATAAAAAACAACTATTATTCAGTAAATAGACCTTCTTATATTATGTTGTTTTAATCATAAAAGAGAACCTGGCACCTAAGAGATCCTAGCCAAAACCCAAGAACAGTTAACCTAATAGGACTGCTCATTCAGCCAAAAGTGTCCGCCAGGTGCATGCGAAAACTCCTCGCTTTGTGACGTCATTGTAGTCCTTGTCATGGGTTATTAGTCCTTATCCGGCAACCAATAATACACACACGTGCATTATTGGTTGCCGGGTGCAAAACGTTCATTATTTAGTTTATTTATTTAAACACCTTATATGTATGCAGTATAGAAAAGTAACTGTATAAATCGTATTAAATACTCGGATAATGCATTTTTAAGAACAGCAGTTCCCAGCATCACCTTTTGCAAGCATTCTTTTTAGAGTACTTCCATATTTTGCTTTAAAATAATTAATTAACAAAATCGTGGGCACTTAGTAAGCACTTTGCCACAATCCACAACACAAAATGAAAATATTTATACACTCTATAGCTCTAAAAACTTTAAAATCACCTTGTTCACATTTAAAATTAACTCAAAATTTCTCAGCTGTTATTTTTATAAGTTTATCATAGGCAACTAATAATACACACTATCATGACAAGGGCTACAATGACGTCACAACGTCTTATGAGGATGAGCAATCCTATTAGTTTACCGTTCTTGGCCAAAACCCGCAAAGCTAGGTCGCGACAATACAGGGTGTCAAAACCTAATGGAAAGTACCCTTGGGCATACGTTCATAGGAACGTTTTCTTTTATTTTTATCTGTAGAATCAGCCACCAAAGTTAGATACACTATTTTTTTGTCACCCTGTATATTATTTCTAACGTCCGTAATCGGCGTAATCTTACCTGATGATATGGTGTGCGGCCTCTCATTGATAATGGCAGATGCTGCCCTTTCAAACTGTATAGAATCCTGCAAATTTGGCCATGTAGATGTCGTTGTAGGCGCTGTAGCTGCGGGGAAAGGTGTACAGGGCGTACTAGAACTGCTACTGTTGTTGCTGTGCTCGGACATATTCGATACCTGCGATAATCAACGTTTTCCTTTATTTATAAGATCAAAGAATTAAATATTTCTAATTTATTTAATATTTTTATTTCCAATAACACAGTACAACAAAAATAATATACAATAAGTCCCGATAAAAAACAATAAATTATTGATTTTAAAAATATGTATCCACCAAATCATCAATAATTTTGTTTTTCTTATTAGATTATACAGGGTGAGTCTTAAAGGAGTGCAAACATTTTCAGGGCTGATAGATCTCGATAAAAGAAACATATTATTAGATTTAGCGGATACATATTTTCGAGGCCAGTGAAACTCATCTACTCTACTTACTTGTGCCACGCTAAAAGCGGAAGGAGGCCTAGGATACAGGGTGTCCTGAGAAGTAAACCCCGAATCTTGACTAGACACGGACATGACGCGTTTACTACCACTACGGCCTACAGGCTGTTGTGCCAAAAACGGAACCAAAAAAGAAAAATAAAACGAAAGTTGAAATAAAAAATAACCTAAAGGAAAATAAACTTTAAAACAAGAAATAAAGGAAAAATTAAAACAAACCATGCAAAAATCGTTCATGCTAGTTTTTTTAATTATAAAACAGACCTCAAAAGTGGCTCACGCCTATAACTTTTTTATTTTTTTAGATAAACAATCGAGATTTGGTATTTTAGTATCCAGGGTTGTTCACCACATACTACACGGAGTATTGTAGCTAAACGATTAGATTTTTACAAATTGTAAGTTTTGGGTTCGTTGAAGGACTATTAGAGCTACAATTTAAAAATATTTTACAAGATACAGAATGTCCCAAATAAGTAAAAAATATCATAGTTGTATTTTTTTAAATGAAACACCCTGTATATTATTCTATTTTTGGACTCTACGATTGAAATAAAGGTAAATTTGATTAAGGTTTATCACACTTAAACCTTACCGTTTTTGAAATATTTTCAATTTTAAGAAATTGCAGTAAGAAATTTAATGTTTCATTTCTCCAAGGGTATCAAAGTTTTTAATACTAAATATTTACTGAAGATTATTTATTGATCAGATATTGTGCTGCAATAATAAAAATTTTACTACCTTATACAGAGTGTCCAAAAATTTATATTAAATAATTACTAGCTTTAAACGGCAATAACGTGTTTAAGTTAAATGGAACACCCTGTATATTTTACGTGAATCATATGCACAATTTAATTGTCTATCAAATTTTATTATACCATTTTTTACCTATCTCTGAACTTTTCGTAGAAAATGCATTTTCTTATAATTTAGACCTCATTTATCACTATACCCATGGAATATTGATTTCAATTTTTTTTTAAGCAACATATATGCAGAAAATGTACAAGTGTAAATATTGCAAGCCTATTGGTATACCAAAAAAACTATTTAAATCTTTATAAAAGAGTATACGAATTAAATATACCATCATTATTTCCGACCAAAAATTAGTTAATTACATACTTTTAAATTGTTTTAATTAATAAAGTATTCTAAATAAATGTGGATTTGGCTCAGAAATCAATATAATAATAAATTATGAAAATAAACGTCTGTTTTTATAAATCAGCATTCGTCAAAAAATGAAATAAAATTTATAAGGCCGTTACTTTTTACCACACTGTCTAATACACACACAAAATTCAGTTTTTTAGTATTTGGAGCAATTATTATTAATCAACATAAACAGTCAATTAATGTAGTCTGAATACTGGGATCATATTAATTGGTCCTTTTTAACAAAAATATTTAAACAGTTTTTTTATTTTTTTTTATGAAATAAGCGAGCTATATCGAAAATATTAGTATCTGTACTCTTGGAAAATTTGTTACATCTTTAAAAATAATCTAAAATGTCAATATTCCATGGGTATAGTGATAAATGAGGTCTAAATTATAAGAAAATGCATTTTCTACGAAAACTTGAAGAGATAGGTAAAAAATGGTATAATACAATTTGATAGACAATTACATTGTGCATTGATTCACGCAAAATATATAGGGTGTTCCATTTAAATTAAACACGCTATTGCCGTTTAAAGCTAGTAATTATTTAATATACATTTTTGGACACTCTGTATAAGGTAGTAAATTTTTTATGATTGCAACACAATATCTGGTCAATAAATAATCTTCAGTAAATATTTAGTATTAAAAACTTTGATACCCTTGGAGAAATAAAGCCTTAAAATTTTTACTGCAATTTCATAAAATTGAAAATATTTCAAAAACGGTAAGGTTTAAGTATGATGAACCTTAATCAAATTTATCTTTATTTTAATGGTAGAATCTAAAAATAGAATAATATACAGGGAGTTCCATTTAAAAAAATACAACTATAATATTTTTTACTTAGTTGGGACACTCTGTATCTTGTAAAAATATTTTTAAATTGTAGCTCTAATAATCCTTCAACGAACCCAAAACTTACAATTTGTAAAAATCTAATCGTTTAGCTACAATACTCCGTGTCGTATGTGGTGAACAACCCTGTATAATATAAATTAGGATTTATTGACTTATTCTATTGTTTGATTGTTGAATTGACATATGATATGTCATTCTATTCAGAGCGTCATTTTCTATGGAATAAAGTAGAAATATACCGAGGGTGCCATTTAAAAATCAAAAGTTGGTGCCATTTCCGGTGAAACAGGAAGTGACGAAAAATAATTGAATACGTCAATAAATCCTAATTTATGTCGTATACTAACATATCAAATATCGTTTTTTTTATGTGAAACAAATAAAAAAGTTATAGGGGTGAGCCACTTTTGAGACGCACCCCGTATATGTTCAGACTAAAAGTAGTTTTTACCCATAAAAAATAGTTTTTTACATGTAACAAATAGAAAAAAATTATAAAAAAAACGGCGTCCAGATGACTGGGAAATGACGATGTTCCCATATAAATTTACATATAAAATGACAGCGATTTTCATTTCATAGCCATCGCTGACGCCGTTTTTTGTTTGATCATATTGTATTTTAGGTGATAGATTTTTCACTAAAATAAGCAGACGTTTGGATGGTTTGTTTACAGATCGGGGAAGTTAGCAACTCATTGAAAGCAATTATAAAATACGATCCTGCTTGGTCTGCTACAATCCTGCTCCAAATCCCAACCCAGCCACACCCACCAATTTTGTGCTATAGTTACTTTTATTTTGGTTGCTGACGTCCCAGTTGGCAACACATGGGAAGCAGGGTCGTATTTTATAATTCTGTTTTCAATGAGTTGCTAACTTCCCCGATCTTTTGTTTACTCTGTAGTAGGTACTCTGTACCCTACCTGCGACAGACTCCTTTGCCAGTGCGGATGGCTCGGCGAATGGTGACTCTTCGAGCTGCCCGAAGACGAGCTGTTGAGCGAGCTGATGGAGCACATGGACGACTTGCGCGAGCCCAAACTGGAAGGGGACGAAGGTGGCGTTTGGAAGGACCAGCCGCTGTCCGAGGACTTGAGGTCGGCGATCACTTGTTCGGAAGCGGGGGGTAAGGTGCCGGGGTCCGCTGCGTGCTTTTCCAGTTGCTGGACGGCTTCCTGGAGGTGGCCCATTTCGCTCAGCATCGCCACTTCTTCGTCCTGGAAACACGAAAGCAGATTAGAAATAATACTAATTATTTAATTTAAAAAGCTTATTATTAGTGGAGTGCCCAGAGACTTTTACCTCGGAATTAAATTACTATGAATTCAATTACTGTGCTTTATAGATAAAATACTCAAATGTTTACCCATTTTTTTCTTTGCTTTTATTTTTTTTTCCAAGTAAATTTATTGAAATAAATGAATCTAATGCATAAGCTATACCTATTCTGCTTATATTCTAATCATTGAAATTTTGATTGAAATCGAATTATACAGGGTGGCGCGTCATATACTACGCGGTTTTTTCAAGGAGAACAAATGTTTATATTGAAGTGAAATTTTGTGAGCTTATGTAAGTCAATTTAAAGCATTTTCTAAAATTATACAGGGTTGTTCACCACATACGACACGGAGTATTGTAGCTAAACGATGAGATTTTTACAAATTGTAAGTTTTGGGTTCGATGAAGGACTATTAGAGGTACAATTTAAAAATAATTTTACAAGATACAGAGTGTCCCAAATAAGTAAAAAATATCAAAGTTGTATTTTTTTAAATGGAACACTCTGTATATTATTACATTTTTATTTTCTACGATTAAAATAAAGGTAAATTTGATTAAGGTTTATTATACTTAAACCTTACCGTTTTTGAAATATTTTCAATTTTGTGAAATTGCAGTAAAAATTTTAAGGCTTCATTTCTCCAAGGGTATCAAAGTTTTTAATACTAAATATTTACTGAAGTTTATTTATTGATCAGTTATTGTGTTGAAATAATAAAAATAATACTACCTTATACAGAGTGTCTAAAAATTTATTTTAAATAATTATTTTCTTCTATATAATTATGCTTCAAACGGCAATAACTTGTTTAATTTAAATGGAACACCCTGTATATTTTACGAGAATCAGATGCATAATTTAATTGTCTATCAAATTATATTATACCATTTTTACCTATCTCTTTAAGTTTCCGTAGAAAATGCATTTTCTTGTAATTTAGAACTTATTTATCAATATACCCATGGAATATTGACATTTTAGATTATTTTTAAAGATGTACCAAATTTTTAAAGAGTACAGATACAGTTTATTTCATTAAAAAATAAAAAAAAACTGTTTAAATATTTGTTAAAGAGGACCAATTAATATGATTCCAGTATTCAAACTACATTAACTGACTGTTTGCGTTGATTAATAATAATTGCTCCAAATACTAAAAAACTGAATTTTGTATGGGTATTAGACAGTGTGATAAAAGTAACACCTTAAAATGATATTTAATTTTTTAAATAAATGCTTATTTATAACAACAGACTTTAATTTTGATAACTTATTATTATATTGATTTCTGACTCAAATCCACATTTATTTATAATAATTTATTAACGAACACAATTAAGTATGTTTAATTAGTATATGGGCGGAAATAATGGTGTTATATTTAATTAATGGTATACTCTTTAATAAAGATTTAAATAGTTTTCTTTTTGCATACAAATGGGCTAGTAATATTATCATTTTGCTAAAAACGATAATATTACTAGCCTGTACATTTTGTACATTTGTTGCTTTAAAAATAATCTAAAATGTCAATATTCCATGGATATATTGATAAATGAGGTCTAAATTATAAGAAAATGCATTTTCTACGAAAACTTGAAAGGATAGGTAAGAAACGGTATAATACAATTTGATAGACAATTAAATTGTGCATCTGATTCTCCTAAAATATACCGGGCGTTCCATTTAAATTAAAGAAGTTATTGCCGTTTGAAGCTAATAATTATTTAAAATAAATTTTGAGACACTCTGTATAAGGTAGTATTATTTTTATTATTGCAACACAATAACTGATCAATAAATAAACTTCAGTAAATATTTAGTATTAAAAACATTGATACCCTTGGAGAAATGAAGCCTTACAATTTTTACTGCAATTTCACAAAATTGAAAATATTTCAAAAACGGCAAGGTTTAAGTATAATAAACCTTAATCAAATTTACCTTTATTTTAATCGTAGAAACTAAAAATGTAATAATATACAGGGTGTTCCATTTAAAAAAGTACAACTTTGATATTTTTTATTTATTTGTGACACTCTGTATCTTGTAAAAATATTTTTAAATTGTAGGTCTAATAGTCTTTCAACAAACCCAAAACTTACAATTAGTAAAAATCTAATCGTTCAGCTACAACACTCCGTGTCGTATGTGGTGAACAACCCTGTATATTTTGAAGGATTTCTTTTTTTCAGATTTAGTAAATTCGTTGCGCTGCGCGTTGCCTAAGTTATCTTCACAACTTTGACCAAGTCCCAGAGGTCTCTGTTCAAATTTTCGCTTGAATAACCGCGGTATACTAAGGGCTGGCAAAGGTTAGTCTTGGGTCGAGATTTCCGTATGTAAGAAGAGTACAATAATGTACTGATTGCGTTTATAATGTACTGAACAAAGAGAGGACAGTAAACACGTTGCCAAACGTATGAAAAAACCGAGAAACTGTGCACATCGCTAAGAGACGTGGAAGGGGATATAGCAGATTTGTCGCAGTTGACCGGTCGACCCAATCAATACCTCTGTCAGTACTTAAAGTTCTAGGGAAAGGTGTACGTCATGCGTTCAGCTTCACGATTTAATTACGTTTCGTGATACTTAATTTGTTTATTTATTAACGAGTCGCTGTAATTTTCCCTATAGCTTGAATTTTTTTAAGTGCAAGCTAGAAACACTTGCATTTTTGGTAAAAATAAGTGGAATTGAGTGGGTGTTCGATAGTGGTCGCGCTATTAGAACTCTGAATTCAAAAATCGATATCTCGAAATCTATTAGAAATAATAGATTGCAGTTTTTTTCAAGAACTTTGTTAATATTTCTGCTGTATTTTCTTTTTAGACAGTATGTAAAAATCTTTATCAATAAAAAAAAATTACACGATTGCTGAAAATTGCTATGCTCTAAAAGTGAATGGATGGATTGTTTACAATTTTTGAATGGAAAAACAACCTTATCGATTTTTTCTTATGTAAACATATTGTAAAATATCCGATCTTGAAAATAAAAAAAAGTTTCAATATCTAAAGTGGTTCTTGAGTTATGGCCTGTTATGTGTTGAAAAGTTGAGTTCTTAAATTATCGCGATGACTGACGTTTTCTCGTTATAAAAAAATGATACCTTAACGATATCCTTATAATTCCATTTCAGATGCTCAGAAACAAAAAAAAAAAAAGTCTTTTAAAAATAAGCGGTTTGCGATCGTGATTTGACTTTACTTGATAGGGAAAGGCGTATCGGCAACGCCGCAACAGCACGCCGTCGCGCGTCGCGTCGGTCGGTCGCATTTCTCTCACTCCGACTTAATAAGATCCCTATGCGATTTACTTCCACACATGTAAATGCCGACCCAAAAGTAACAGTTGCCAGCACGGTATGTATGCACTTAACCACTGTAATCAACTGTTTAAAAACTGGTTTTGGTAAATTCAGAGACTTTTTTCTTTGCTGGCTCTCTGTCTATTACAGGTAGCAGTGTTTCCGGCATAGGATAGCCCCTTAATATCGACGAAAAAACTACTTACCACTACCGGTTTTAGAAGACCGACGAAAGAGCAAAACCTTCCTCTTTCTTCTAGCAAGGCCGCGCGAACCGCGTGCTTCTCGGTCTCCTCCAGAAGCTGGCGACGTTCCGTCACGTCTTGCAGACCACACTCGAACCTCTTCTGCACATCGCCTCCAGCCCCTTTGCGCATCTTCTTCTGTAGACGCAACGTATCCGTGGATCGTTTCTTCAGTTCCGCCCTGGCTCTTTTGTAGTCTAGAAAATAAACCGTCCTTTGAAATGCACATACTCGTTTTTAGAAAGAACGTAGATAAAAATACTGGTATAGTCTGTGAAGCGAATAACTTTGAATTTGACAGTTCCCGCGGGCTTTTCTAGTGTTAATTTTGTTAGGTTAGCAACTTGCGGCCCTGCTGACGCAATGCCGTCTCTAATAGAACAGCCTCACTTGACTATGGCTGAAATCCCACTCCATAGTCAATGTAGATAGTTTTAGTGTTAAGAATAATAATTTTAAAAAATATGTGGTCATCTTTTGACAAGTTTATATTAGTTTATTAATTGTAGTAAACATTATGTGGTGTGTGGTGTGAATAGTTTATATGTAATTTTTTGGATTATATTCGACACTATTTTTTTCATATGACACAACACTGATGAAGGCTATAATGTTATCCGAAACGTTTTTTTAAAACCAAATAAAAATAATGAAAAACCAAATGAATCAGCGTTTTTCCCGAACCTAAATCCCAAGAAAATCAAAAATTTTAGAATAATTTTACATATAAACTGACAGCGATTTTTATTTCATAGCCATCGCTGACGCCTTTTTTTCTATGATATTGTATTGTTTGCAAATATAATTTTTCGAACATTGATACTTGCAAAATATACAAATAAATTTTGTGAATGCAAATAATAATACATCACTATTAGTAGATATTGAATGTTTTTTGTTAAAATAGATCGATTTTAAAACCCCAAAATTTAAAATATATTTTACATTTTATCCATTATCTGATGTACCTATTCATTATTTGTATATTGTAAAACATTTGCTGCATTTGTGTGGTTCATAGTTCATTTGCCAAAGTATTTATTACTATAAATAGGTATATGTATTGTATTTATTAACTGTATATTATGTATATTTCATGTAAATTATATAATTTTTAAAATACAATGTTTATGAATGAACATGTATCAATAACAATGTATCATGAATGTTGTAGAATACATGTTTTCCATGTACTCTACAACATATTTATTAATCCGTAGTATCTAACTAGCGTGACGTCATCAATCTCGCTCCGAGGCTGTTCTATTAGAGACGGCATTGGTCAGATATTTAAAAATGTCAAAAGCTGATCACATTTTACTTTTGGCAATTATGACATTTTGTGTTGATTTTTGCAAGAAGAGGAAGAACTGTCACTTGTTTTATTATTTTCCTTTTCTATTTCACGAAAGTAAAAAGAGTTACCTATCTGATTCGTTCAGGCACTCAGTTTAAAGAATATCAGTAACTTTTTTGATAGAGGGATTTTATGTTTGCCATGTTGGTAAAAAATAACGGTCAAAATTCAAAGTTATTCATTTTATAGACTATATATATATATATTTACTCCACTAGAATGTTGAGAGGTGAAAATTAATAAGATAAAAAAATACTACCTCTAGCGTGTTCTTTGTCCAGATTTAATACTGTTTTTCTCCATTCCTCCAATTTCTCTTGCAGCGGTATAATAAGACAGTCCATGATCACTCTGAAACAAAATAGAATCTTTCTACCATTTAAAATAATTTTACAAGATACAACAGAGTGTCCCAAATAAGTAAAAAATATCATAGTTGTATTTTTTTTAAACGGAAAACCCTGTATATTATTCTATTTTTAATTTCTACCATTGAAATAAAGGTAAATTTGATTAAGGTTTATCATATTTAAACCTTACCGTTTTTGAAATATTTTCAATTTTGTGAAATTGCAGTAAAAAATTTAAGGCTTTATTTCTACAAGGATATCAAAGTTTTTAATACTAAATATTTACTGAAGATTCTTTATTGATCAGATATTGTGTTGCATTAATAAAAATTATACTGCCTTATACAGAGCGTCCAAAAATTTATATTAAATAATTATTAGCTTTAAACGGCAATAACTTCTTTAATTTAAATAGAACACCCTGTATATTTTACGTAAATCAGATGCATAATTTAATTGTCTATCAAATTGTATCATACCATTTTTTACCTATTTCTTCAAATTTTCATAGAAAATGCATTTTCTTACAATTTAGACCTCATTTATCACTATACCTATGGAATATTGACATTTTAGATTTAAAAATAATAATATTGTAAGCCCATTTGTTTGCAAAAAAAAAGTATTTAAATCTTTGTTAAAGAGTATACCAATTAAATATACCATTATTTCCGCTCAAAAAATAGTTAATTACATAGGTACTTAATTGTTTTAATTAATAAATTATTATTAATAAATTATATAAATAAATGTGGATTTGACTCAGAAATCAATATAATAATAAGTTATGAAAATTAACGTCTCTGTTTTTATAAATAATCATTCGTCAAAAAATGAAATAAAATTTTTAGGGTGTTACTTTTTACCACACTGTCTAATACACATACAAAATTTAGTATTTTAGTGTTTGGAGCAATTATTTTTAATCAACGTAAACAGTCATTAATGTAGTTTGAATACTGGGATCATCTTAATTGGTCCTCTTTAACAAAAATATTTTGTAATGAAATAAGCAAACTAATATGGACAATACTTAGTATCTGTACTCTTTGAAAATTTGTTACATCTTTAAAAATAATATGAAATGTCAATATTCCATGGGTATAGTGATAAATAAGGTCCAAATAATATGAAAATGCATTTTCTACGAAAACTTGAAGAGATAGGTAAAAATGGTATAGTACAATTTGATAGACAATTAAATTGTGCATCTGATTAACGTAAAACATACAGGATGTTCCGTTTAAATTAAACAAGTTATTGCCGTTTAAAGCAAGTAATTATTTAATATAAATTTTTAGACACTCTGTATAATGTAGTATTTTGTTTATTATTGCAACACAATATCTGATCAATAAATAATCTTCAGTAAATAGTGAGTGTTAAAAGCTTTCTTGGAGAAACGAAGCCTTAATTTTTTTTTGCTTCCAACATGATATCAATTTCACTATATTTTTCTTACCCTGTAAAATGTTTCATCCGATTTTCTACTGCTTTGTGCCTCAAACAAATCCTGGTCAGTGCCGTGCCTATTTCTCTTGTAGCTCCTGAAAAAAAAAGAAAGAAAAAATAGTTTAACAATTCAAGTCCCAACATGTTTTATGATGTCATTATACTAAATTTTCTTCTAACAGTGTCATGTACAGGGCGTTCCAAAATCGAGGGTTACATTTGGAACATTTGCGTCCTCTAGCGGCCATTCTACAAACTTGAAAATAATTTCCAGCCATTTCTCATAACCATGGCAAGGCAGAAAAAGCCATCTACTCTTTAGGCTACGTACAGCATGATACGGACAATGCTAGAATTAAGGGAAAAGACTGACATATTAAAGTATGACAAACTCGTCGCATTTTTAAAACGCCAGAATGTAGGTTTTAAGCCAAGGAAGTTAAGCATTTTTACCTTCAACAAGTAAATGTATTCAAATCTTCAATTATTATTGTTAATCTTCTTGTTTATTTTTGTTGATGTTAGATAAGTGTTTAATAAAGATATTACAAGAATATTTTGCTTAATTAAATGGAGCGATAAATAAGAAAAACCGAGTGAGAGAAATGGAAGAGGGAAGAAATGTAGATAATTTGACACTTTCAAATTTTTTAAAAGTCAGTAGTATGTCAGTATTACATATGTGGTGTAAATAAAATACAGTAAATCTAATAAAATCATTAATTTGACGAGAATGCTTACTGCGAAACTAAAATATTTGCCTGTCAATTCCAGAGCCTCATTAATAATATCTTTTCCCGATCCAGCAGTAATATAAAAGCTATAAAAGCGTGTGGTTTTGACAGATAAGTGACAAACTGCACTTGTCGATAGATTTTCCGCCAGAATTACGAAGTCAAGCGCTTCAAATTTCGTATTAAAGGCAAAATAAAAGGAAAACATTGCTTTTGAATTATTGTTTAAATACCGGTTATTTATTTTTTCAGTAGTTTTTCTTCTTTTTCCACTACTGGTAGTCTTCCTTTCGTAACATCCTGTTTCTAAACGTTCTAAAATTAATCGGATGGACTCCGAAATTCTATTTTTACGTTCTGGTAATTTATGCTCTCACAGAGTTCCGCCTGTGAACGTATTGATTGTTTGGGAGCTATGGCCAGTACAACAGTGAATATTCTTCTCTATTATACAGGGTCTTCCTTAATGACATGCTAATATTTAAGAGGATGATTCTTGGATCTATTCTAAGAAAAAAAATTCAGGGTAAAATTTTCTAAATTTTTTTTCATAATAACTCTGATTTTATTATAGATATCTTCGAGAAACTTGATACACGTCTTCTATGGATCAAAATGCCTTTTTTGGTGTACAAAGAATTTTATTTATTTCGACCAGTGTCGTCCATACGGGTTTTAAATTGAATAGCTTTGGAGAAAAATGTTGTACACTAAAAAACAAATTGTTATCTAGATTCATAAAAAAATTTGCTTGTTCTAAAACGGTTTATCCCTTTTATACTTTTCGAAAATTCCATACCGTTTTGGAGAAAATAATTAACAGAACATAACATTATCATAGAATTTCCCAAAAATCAAAACGTGGTATCTATGGTAATATAATTTCGTATTTATTTTTTGATAGATCATTACTGATAGAATTTTAATTAACGTCATGTTTTTTGCTGTTTTAAGATGTTAAAAAAGCACAAAATTCATTTAGTTTAATGCCAAGGAAAGGATGATAATAGTTGTCGGAAAATGTGATGCTTTAATAACAGCAAAAAAATATGACGTTAATCAAAATTAATACTAATCATCTATCAGAGAATGAAATCGAAATTATATTACCATATTCTTTTGATTTTTAGGACTTAATTCTACCATAATTTCGTTTTTTTTTTCAATTTTCTCTAAAACGGTATAGAAATTTTGAAAAAATAAAAAAGTTCTCCCTCTTGTAAAGTGTAGTACTGGCCATAGTTCTGCCTAATCAAAATTACTAGATATTTATGCTCCATTAAATTTTTATTGCCTATTGTTTTACAAAATTACAAACACATGCACGTATATTTAGTTTCATCTTTATTAACACAAATGCAGCAGCTAAAAATACATTTCAATTACGATTTTCTAAATGGTAACTACTATGTTTACAAAAAATAAATTCATAAACACACTTAAATGTCTTTATTTTTGTTACAGCATATTTATTTCATTTGTGGTTTAATATATTTCAACCCTATTATTATTTTTTATTTTTTTATACAGGGTGAGTGTTAAATAAGTGCAAAATATTTTCAGGACTGGTAGATCTCGATAAAAGAAACATGTATTTTTCCTTACCATTTTTTAAATAAGTCCAAAATAACCGAGTTATTTAAGTTTGAAAATTTAAAAAAAAATGATTTTTTTTTGGAAAAATTTTGAGAGCCACCGGATTTTTTCTGTATTTGCATCCCTTTTAGTGCTGTAACCATAGAGTAAAGCTGTAACAATGGTAATATCTGGTAATATCAGAGATTAAAAAATTATACCGTGAGAAAATTTGCGGTGAACAGGCAGTTCTAAAAAGTTTTCGAAAAATATACAGGGAAATTTAAAAGAAAATGCACGATTTTCAACAACTTTTTTTGCGAAAAAAACCTGATAGACGTGTTCCTGGGGTGCAAATATACCACCCCTGAAAATATTTACACTTATTTTAAACTCACCCTGTATATAGATAAAATTAACTTTCTCATTAATTTCATCACTCAAATTCAGTTTCCGATTCAACGATTTTCATTCACGTTGTGCGATTTCATTTTATTTCACACTTTCTTAATTTGTTCTTGCTTGCATTTAATAATTAAAAAATAGTACATATTATACCGTATGATCGAAAAAAACAGCGTCAAATACGGCTGGGGAATGACAACCGGTAATAATTTTGGCGCGGTCAATCTCTAGACGTCGATTACTAAAAATTGACATAAAACTTGCTAAAATATAACTAATTATAGAAAGATTAAAAACTAATAGAAGGTTTCGGGCCAAGTAAATGATGTCTAGGGCTTGACCATGTCAAAATTATTATCGATTGCCATTCCCCAGCCGTCTTTGACGCCGTTTTTTTCCGATCGTATGCTATTAACTCGATAAAGAACTTGGTACTTAATATTTATTATTTTATATACAGGGTGGTCCTTACTGTACTCCGGAAACTTCGCCAGCATATTCTGTAGATAAAAATAAGTAAAAAAGTTCGTATAAATGTACCTAGTATGTTCGAAAATGCTTAGTTTCGGAGATGCAGGGTGATTTTTTTACGTAAAAAATGTCTCTTGGTAAAAATCGCTACCAGCAACCGTTCTCAAGATATTTAGAATTAAAATAGTCAATACATGTCAATATTGACAAAAAATAAGCACGTTAAGTATAGATATTTGACTGAAATAATACATTTTTATTACTAAACGTGCGTTATTATTACTAAACCTACGTTTTTTATTCTCTACAGATGCCTGACGTACTATTGCCGAACCCTGTATTAACAACATGAAGTTGGTCGTTTAATAAACAAAGAATATTTTTAAGCATTTTCCGAAAGCAAAAAATGAAAAATGTGATACCAAACGGAAAAATATATTCTACAACGGATTTTCTGAAGTTTCGACGATCGTACGTTCGGTATTGTGAAAACTCCGAAGAAATCGACGGAGAGCGTGACAAAAATAGATCAAACAATGGGAAAAATTTCGAGAAGAATGATTTATTTCTTGTACGATTTCCATCGGTGTGTTCTTAACGGTTTCCGTCATGAAAATTCGTCTTGTTTCCTGCTTTTCCAAACGATACAAAAGAAAATATGCATGTTAAGGAATGTTTGAGACTGTTCGACGGTTGGGACCGTACCAAGCACTGTTATATCAAGAAATTGGTATAAACTATTTAATTTTATATCCATATCAGCCATATCAATTAGTAGTGGGAACTATCGAATGAATACTATCGAAACATTCGATAGTTGCAATTCATTCGAATAATTCGATAGTTAGTAAGAAAACATTCGTTGAAAACTATTCGAATAAAAATTATCGAATAGATCCGTCATCTGCCTTGAAAAATTGTATTCTAGTAATTCGGCAGCAAAAACCATTCATTTATAAAATTCATTCATTTATGAAATTCATTTATTCGTCAGGATCGATTATAATAAAATATTAACTGAATTTTAGTTGTGGCCCGGCGACGTAGGTTTCTTTCCGAGAAACCCGACAGCGGTCGGTGGCAATGCTTTGATTTTTTGCGGAGTCAGATATAGATAAGGACACATTATTTTTTTTATTGAGGTACTAGTATTTACACAGAAAATACATTATGAAGGGCGCTGTTGCCATATTTTGGTATTAGTTGATATTAGCAAAGAATATTATTGTTTGGCTTTATTTAGTTAGGGATAGTATGTCTATATATTCTGCATTTTTTTATTAATATTCTGTTGTTACACTGCAATAATACTTGTTATTTTGGATGTAGGAAAATGATTTTTAATGTTTTTAAGCAAAGACTGATTTAATAAATAATAATAACAGTAATAATTTGTTATACCTATTAACAACAAAATTTAAAATCATTTAATATAAATATTTTTTTTTAAGTAGTAGCAAAATATAAACAACAAATTAGATGTCAAAATTATTTAATTAGATCCTATTTAAAAATAATATAGTTTCTAAATTTTTTGTGTGTGGCAACGTTGGTTTATTAAATAATAATAATTACAGAACTAATTTGTTATATTAACAACAAATTTTAAAATCATGAAATATAAACATTTATTAATTTTCTAAGCATGCAGTGTAATGGAAGGAAAATATAAATAAAAAATTAGAAATCAAAATTATTTATATTAGGTGCTTTATATTACTATTTAAAAATTATATTTACTTTTACTGGCATTTACTTTAAAAAATAAATGAAATATTTCTTCGCAAAAAACTACATGTAAGAGAATTAGCATAAACAAAATACAAACATCGGTAACTTTTTTTTTTAATTGGCACGTGTAAAACTTTCATTTTAATTTTCTCACCCCATAGTTTGAGTTCGATAACCCC